TTTCGGAGTCAGAATCCTTCTCGATGGTCTGCCTGGAAGCAATGATCTACGGAGTGCCACTTATTGCCAGCGATTGTGGCGGCCCCAGAGACATCACCGGCAATGGCGAAAAAGCCTTGCTGGTGCCCAATAGAGATGCAAGTGCCGCGGCAAAGGCCATCCTGAAAATAGCCGCATCGCGCGATCTATACGCACAAAAAGCAGCTGCTTCAAAAAAATGGGCTGTCGGGAAGTTTTCACTGCAAGTATCTGCACAGCAGCTGCATACATTATACGGGCAACTATTAAATACAGGTAACCGCAATTGATTACCTTCGCGCTCTCGAAATTATTTATTTAGTAACTATTATAATGAACGTTTCCCCTAATGTTGCTTTTATAGTGCCTTATCCGGTTGGGAAAGCACCCTCCCAGCGCTTTCGGGTGGAGCAGTTATTGCCCTTACTGGACAAGCAACAGATACCTTATACACTATATCCATTTATGGATATGAATACATGGCAGGTTTTGTACAAGGGCGGGTCTGTCACGCAAAAGGCAATCGGAATTATTAGTGGATTTCTGAAACGGCTTAAATTGGTTTTGTGGGATATCCGTAAAGCCGACGTTATCTTTATTCACCGGGAAGCAGCTCCGATCGGGCCGCCTGTCTTCGAATGGATACTGACCAGGGTACGTCGTAAAAAAGTAATCTTTGATTTCGACGATGCTATCTGGATACCCAATACCAGCGCTGAAAACAAACTGGCGGCATCCGTTAAAGCATTTTGGAAAATACCGAAGATATTGAGTTGGGTAGATACCGTAGCTGGTGGTAATGACTATCTGTGTAAATATGCTACTTCACAAAATGCGACCAACGTCGTGCGTATCCCTACCGTTGTGGATACCAACAACAGGTACAACCGGCTGAAAGTCCATTCACCCGGGCACAAGACGGTGGTTGGCTGGACGGGTAGCCATTCTACCCTGAAGTATCTGGATGAGCTGATGCCTGTATTACAGGCCTTGCAGGAACGGCTTGATTTCACATTCCTGGTGATCGCCGATAAGCAGCCGGAACTCCCACTTAAAGACTGGGAATTTGTTCCCTGGAATGCAGCTACGGAAATAGAGGATCTCTTAAAGATAGATATCGGTGTGATGCCATTGACCGCTGATGCCTGGAGTGAAGGCAAATGCGGATTTAAGCTAATACAGTACCTGGCGCTGGCGATACCCGCAATAGCATCTCCGGTAGGAGTTAATTCTGTGATCGTTCAGGAGCATGAGAACGGATATTTATGCAGCAGCCCGGAAGAATGGACGGCGGCCCTGGAAACACTGATCAATGACGTGCCTTTGCGGAATACCATGGGACATAACGGCCGGGTGAAAATGGTCAATGAATACAGTATTGATGCGATAGCCCCCTCTTTTACCGGCTTATTTATAAAAGCATAAAAGTGCGGATTTGTATGCTGACGAAGTTTATCAATCGTGCAGCCTTCTTAAACAATGAGTGAGGAAACCAGGGTCCTGTATTTTATGCGTCTGTCTACTCCCAAATGCTGAGAGGCAACACTGAAAAAGGTTGTTGGTCTAAACAAAACTGTCCGGATATGTTCATCCATTTTATAAACAAATAACCAATATGCCATCTCCTCTAGTCTCTGTAAATATGTGTGCCTATAATGTGGCGCCGTACCTGGAAGAAACCATTCACTCTATCCTTAACCAGACTTACAGGAATATCGAGTTTATCATGGTTGATGATTGCTCTACGGATGATACCCTGGCGATCATGCAGCAATATGCTGCTTTGGATAACCGTATCAAAGTACTACGCAATGCGGAAAATATGGGCATGAGCAGAAGCCGGAACGTCTGTTTGGCTCATTCGTCCGGCAAATACATTGCCATACAGGACGCCGACGATATATCATTACCCCATCGTCTTGAAACGCAGGTAAACTATCTGGAGCAGCCCGGGCATGAACAGGTTGGTTATTGTGGTGCATGGCTGGAACATTTCGGTACGGAAACGGCGATTAGCAAATATCCCGATCTATACCTGAAGGAAATGCAATTGAGTAATTGCATGTTCGGGCATCCTTCCACGATGTTCCGGATGGCGTTAATTGACAAATACAAACTCTTCTTTGACGAAAAACATGGCCCTGCCAACGATTATGGCATCCAGACGGCACTGGTTCCTTATACCGACTTTCATAATGTACAGGAAGTACTGGTGCGGTATCGCCAGCATGCCACCAACGCCAGTAACAACCGGCAACTGATGTTCGATAAAGCGCGGGAAATCAGGGAGGGGCAATTCAGGAGG